TTTCCGGGAGATTTTCCGGCGACTTCGGTTTCATTCAAGTTTCGAGCTTTTGACTCCGTTTTTCATAGTCTACGCAATGATAAATTGAGTATTTAGTTTTAAATCTCTTTACTTCGGTTTTTGATTCAGTTTTACTTATAATGTTCATTAGAGTAAATTGGATTTGATTGATGATGGTAGAAATGCTTGAACTTGATTGCTTGCTTGAGTAGATAGAGCCGTTAATTACTTGTTGATCTCGATTAGATGACTAGGGTTAGCAATCTAATGCTCGTAGCTCCTTTATTCCGTATGTCGATTGATTATCATCCCGTTATGGTTATGGCATGAGACTCCGGTTATCTAGTTTGCTAATTGCTCGTCACTCTATCTTACTTTTAATTAATTGCTCATTTTTAAGTGTTCAATTAGTGTTAATCAACCATCCGATCAATTGCTTAGAATGTTTAGGATTTTATTTTCCCTTTTTGTGATTTGGACGATCATTTAGTAGACAAAGCTTCGAATAGCCTTCCTTCGAGATCGACCCCAGTCGGGTAGCTCGGTTATCCCTTGCCCTTCAACTCTATACTAAACACTTTTGTACCCTGAATCACAAAGAACACTCCTTAGTTTTAAAGATATTCAATCTAATGGTTTTCATGAAACTTAGACTGAAAACAATATAGAGTATCTTCTAATGACTCATTCACAAGGAAGTCAAAAGAAAATTGTAGAAGAACTTCCCTCTTTCTCCTCAGGCTTGTACCATACTTACATTCGACCTTCTATTAATCATGTTGTATTGAGCTTAAAATTTAAAGACCCGAATTCATTTAAATTATGGCATGAGCGATTGGGTCATCCTGGGCTTAGTATGATGCGTCAGATTATTTCTAACTGTATTGGGCATAGCGTATCAAGCAACAATTTCTCTTCTTTTAATGAATTTATTTGTGATGCTTGTGCAAAGAGAAAATTAATATTAAAGCCTTCACGTACTAAAGTTGGAATTGAATCTCCTATGTTCCTTCATAGGATTCAGGGTGATATATGTGGCCCTATTCATCCCACTTCGGGACCTTTTCGATATTTTATGGTATTGATAGATGCTTCCACTCGATGGACATATTTGTGTTTATTGTCCACTAGAAATCAGGCTTTTCCAAAGCTCCTTGCTAAAATTATTGAATTAAGAGCTCAATTTCCTGATTATCAAATTAAAACTATTAGAATGGATAATGTCGGTGAATTTACATCGAAAGCTTTTGATGATTACTGCATGTCACTGGGCATCAAAGTGGAGCATCCGATACCTTATGTCCACACACAAAATGGTCTAGCCGAATCACTCATTAAGCGCATCAAATTAATTGCTAGACCATTGTTACAAAATTTCAACATCAAATTAAAACTATTAGAATGGATAATGCCAGTGAATTTACATCGAAAGCTTTTGATGATTACTGTATGTCACTGGGCATCAAAGTGGAGCATTCGATACCTTATGTCCACACACAAAATGGTCTAGCCGAATCACTCATTAAGCGCATCAAATTAATTGCTAGACCATTGTTACAAAATTTCAACTTACCAGTTTCATGTTGGGGACATGCAATTTTACATGATGCTGCCCTAATTCAAATCTGACCTACTGCATATCATGATTACTCTCCTCTACAACTAGTGCGTGGGAAAGAACCTAACATTTCCCATCTGCGAGTATTTGGTTGTGCAGTCTATGTTCCCATCTCACCACCATAGCGTACCTCTATGGGCCCTCATAGAAAGCTAGGTATATATATTGTCTATGAATCTCCGTCTATTCTTAAATACCTAGAGCCCATGACTGGGGATCAATTTACAGCTAGGTACGCTGACTGCATATTCGATGAAGAGAATTTTCCGGCATTAGGGGGAGATAAAAGCCCAAACTTAAATAAATGCCGAGAAATTTCTTGGAATGTAGAAAATCTACAATATTTAGATCCACGCACTAATCAAACTGAACTTGAAGTTCAAAAGATAAATTAATTTGCAATATTTAGCAAATAATCTGCCAGATGCATTTACTGATCACAAAGGAGTGACCAAATCTCATGTACCTTCAATAAATGCTCTACAACGAGTGGAAGTCCCCATAAAATCTAATAATCCTGCAGATGCTCCACGCCAGAAGCGTGGTAGACCCGTTGGTACAAAAGACAATAATCTGCGGAAAACAAAATCTAATAAGAATATTGAATCACTCCCGAAATCACCAGAAGAGAATCGTCCAGAAGGCGAAAATTCTAGTTTAAATGCACGTGCAACAAATAATAAAAATACTAGGATTGCAGAACATCCA